ACACACACACACACACACACACACACACACACACACACACACACACATAAATAACAAAAGGTAAAAATGTAACACTATCCACGTTTTAGTTGGAGCCTGCTTTCCCCCTCAGGACAGTTCTATTTCGTATAGGCTTCGCCCTTTAAGGCTGTTGCTGGTGGGTTTTATCCCATCATGCGAAGCATTACACTGAAAAATTTAGTATACGCCCACCTGCTGTGTAGGCCCCACCCGGTCCGTATAATTACGTTAAGAGCGGGTAATCGGCTCCCATTTTTCTTCAGCGAGCTAATAGCACTGTCAGAAGAACGAAGAAGGAAAGTTGTCTAGCTTGACCAACCTTGTCAAGACTGCCTGTGGCCCGCCACGTCAACCTCCTGTCGTCCCGGTGAGTTCTCCTCCCCGAGGAGAAGCAGACGAGCAGTCTTGTTTCAAGGTAAGCGCCGAGGAGTATCTCTCAGTGGCAGGTCGCTACACGCTGGACGACGCCATCTTGTAATTTTCCTCTTATCGCTGACTCTCGGAGCTAATCAGATGGTTCCTCCGGGACAGGCGACGTCAGCAGCAGCCCCCCGCTGCTCATTCCCTCTTGGAGAGCGTAGTGTCGGTAGAGGGGGGCTGAGCGAATGCTCACCCCCCCCCCCCCACCCCCCCGACCTTGTTTCGCATCTGCGACCACACCGCTCACAGCCGTCGGTGCCCTCCTCTGGAGCTGCCCGGCATAATCCAGGAGGTGGCTAACATGAAGGGACTTTTTTCCGTCCCTCTCCTTTCCCCGCCCAGATTGGATGATCTAGCGGGAAGGTTTCTGGGCTCCATTCCAGCTCGCCGTCCTGATCCCATCTGGCCCCGTTCCCAGCAGTGACGTCCTACTGGGACGAGGCCGCAGCTGGTTCCTGGTAGAATAGGGCGACAGTTCCCACATTCGCGCCCATCACCAGAGTGGAGGGGTTTTCACCGAGTGGAAATTCCCTCGGTGCCCCACTGTAGCCGAGCCTGGCGGAGGCTTTCGAAGCAAAGATGTCCAGGTTGGACAAGCGTCCTGCACCTCCCGGTAAGCATAACCAGACGGTGATGTCGCTCTCCAACCGAGCTCACCAGTGTGCATTCTAGGCGGCCGCAGCGAACAACACGTTACGCTGCTGACGTACAATGTTCAAGAGGCTGGAGGAGACATAGCGCTCCCTCTGCAAGGCAGCTGACGTCATCCTCAACCTGTGTGTCTCTGCTGTCTGCCGGTCTCGCATTAAAACGTATGCTGCAGCCATCTCTTCCTGTCACAAAGGTTTTGCGGAGACAGAACAGCTTTTAATCATCCGCTCATGGAGCGTTTTGTAAAAGGTGTACAGAGAAAGATGTAGAGGCCACCTCATGTCCACTAGGCAACGTGCTGTCCTTTCTGCAGCTGCTGACGGACAGAAATTTGGCGTTCAGCACGATTAAAACGTACGCTGCAGCCATCTCTTCCTGTCACGAAGGTTTCGGGGACAGAACAGCTTTTAATCATCCGCTGATGAAGCGTTTTTTTAAAAGGTGTACAGAGACGCAGGCCTGTTTTCACGCCCACTTGCTCCATAGTGGGATTTAACACTGGTCCTGCGGGCCCCGATCAAGCTCCATTCGAGCCTCTGGATCAGGTTCCAATTAAATTCTTGTCTCTTAAAACAGCCCTGCTGCTGGCTTTAACATCCGCTAAGAGGGTGAGTGATTTATCTGCCCTCTCTGTCGCTCCGTCATGTCTTAGAATTCAGGCTGATGGCAGCTCAGCTGATCTAAGACCAAACCCAGCTTTTATGCCTAAAAACATCACAAGCTCTTTTAAATCAAGAGTGATATCGTTGGAGGGGTTTTTCCCCTCCCCCCACAAATCAGAAGAAGAAACATCTTTCCATCTGCTCCGTCCTGTGCGGGCGTTGACGTGTTACATAGCGCGCACAGCTGCAATGTGTCAAACTCAACATTTGTTTGTGCATTATAGAGATGCATCTGCAGGTCGCCCGTTATCCACCCAGCACTTGTCACACTGGCTGTGTGAGGCCATTTCTGAAGCCTACAGAGCATCAGATTTAGAGCTTCTTGATATCCTCAGAGCACACTCGACCAGAGGTATCGCATCTTCGACTGCTTTGCATAATGGTATGACAATGCAGGATATTTGCACTGCGGCCACGTGGTCAACACCCTGCTCATTTATTGGTTTCTATTTACGTGATGTGACGGCTCGTTCCATGACACATTCTGTCCTTAATGATCTAAAAGAATGAATATTGTTGTTTCATGGAACCCCGTTTAAACTCACATCTGTCTGCATGCATTACAGTGTGAGATGTTATCAGCCACAAGTTATGACTGTTATTCTGGTTCTATTGTCACTAATCAGTTCATGACTATTGTTACCAATCAGTTCATTTGATTAACAATCAGCTCACTTATTATTAATCTGTTCATATTGTTCAGCCGTGAATCGGTTGGTTCATGGCCCCTTTTTTCAGCATCTTCCTCCCCCGTTGAAATTTTCCTGGGCGATCATGCATTCAGAACGCATAACTACACAGCATGCGTCTGTGCATAGCACACATAATTACGCAACGCGTAATTACTTACATGGGGAGCTGAGTGACAAGATGTTTTTTGGGCAAGCTTCCGCTTCATACAGTGTTCGAATGGACCCAGTGAGGCGAGGACCACATCTGCTTCGCCCTTAATCCATCAGCGACAGCCTTAAAGGGCGAAGCCTATACGAAATAGAACGTTGGTTACGTACTGTAACCCCAGATTCTATGAGTATAGGCGTAGCCCTTTAAACGACGGGCCTCACTGGCTCCTAAATGGCTGAAGAAAAAGTTATTTGGGAGCCGATTACCCGCTCTTAACGTAATTTATACAGACCGGGTGGGGCCCACACAGCAGGTGGGCGTGGACTAAATTTTTCAGTGCAATGCTTCGCAATACGGGATAAAACCCACCAGCGACAGCCTTAAAGGGCTACGCCTATACTCATAGAATCAGGGGTTACAGTACGTAACCAACGTTTTGCAGTCTTTTCCATTTTCATTGCCAGTCCCTTCTTTTGCGGGTGGTACAGTAAAGTGACTGAATAACAATATTTAATTCAGTTCAATTCAATATAGCATCAAGTCACAACCCAAGTTGTCTCAGGGCACTGTAAAAAAAACATTCACATACATAAAAAGGCCAATTAGTAAAAGTTATCTAGTAAGGAAGCTAGCAGATTGCGTTGAAATTTCACTTCATCACAATCTCCCATCCTGAGCAAGCACAAAGGCAACAGTGGAAAGGAAAAACTCCCTTTTAAACTAAGAAACCTCCAGCAGAACCAGGCTCAGGACGAGCAGCCATCTGCTTCAACCGACTGGGTTTGAGGGGAACAGGAAGGAGAAACAGACAT